TCCTCAAAATAACAACATAAAAGATGACACAAATAGTAGTGATTTCTCCAAAATCCATCAACCCAACCCTAACCATAAGTCTGGTGCTAGCCGGAAAGGTAGGGGAATATTGACAGATTTTGGTCTGTTCCACCAAAAGGTTTCTTCCATTCTTGTCAGACTAAACACTGTATTACACTCTAAACTTTAAGGTCTAAAACCTATTCAGTTGATATGGATTAGCACCTAAGAATACCCTTAGGATAGCTCCTTTTAGTTTTGGACTAAAGTCATTCTTCCACCTAACATGGAACCCTCCCACTACCACTTTATGAACTTTTCTGTCTCTATCTAAAAAATGTGGGCTTTCTGGAACCTAATGCTTATGCTTGTATCTCCTGTATCTAACCTTTTTCCTTATAATTTTTCCTAGCAAAAGTCCAGCCTTCCAAATTAGGGAAATTCAAGATATTAATTAAGTTCACTTTGTAATTAATTCAGATATTTTATAACTAATTACAGTAGTCCATCATACCCATCATAACAGGTTGTCACTCATGACCGGTTATGATTGTCTTCCAAGGATAGGGTCTTGGCGATGGGTCCTTACATGACTTTATTTATTTATTCTATTTATTTATTTACTGTATTTGTATACCGCCTTTCTCAGTCCGCAGGCGACTCAAGGCGGTTTACAGGGCAAAATGCCTACAATACCATAAATACAATTAAAAACATTAAGATATAATAAAAACATAATAAAATCAATAAAACATAAATCATTAATATCTCCTTGTTAAAAACATTGTCTAGTCCCATCGTCTAGTCATTCCATTTTCCTATGTCAGTTACTCTGCATTTGCAAACGCTTGCTCAAAAAGCCATGTCTTGACTTTTTTTCTGAAATGTTCTGATATACCTAGGGAGGGCGTTCCATAGCCGATTGGCCACCAACAAGAAGGCCCCGTCTCTCGTCCCTGCCAAACGTACTTGTGACGAAGGTGGTAATGAGAGCAGGGCCTCCCCAGATGATCTTAAGGTCCTAGATGGTTCATAAGGGGAGATGCGTTCTGACAGGTAAGTTGGGCCAGAACTGTTTAGGACTTTATAGGCTAAATTGTGCCTGGTAGCAGACTGGCAGCCAGTGGAGCTGGCAAAACAGAGGAGTTGTATGCTCCCTGAGCGCCACTCCCTTTAGCATTCTGGCTGCTGTCCGTTGAACCATTTGAAGCTTCTGGACGGTCTTCAAAGGCAATCCCACATAGAGTTCATTGCAGTAGTGTATACAGGATGTAACCAGAGCATGGACTACTGTGGCCAAGTCAGACTTCCCAAGGTATAGGCGCAGCTGGCGCACAAGTTTTAACTGTGCAAAAGCTCCCCTGGTCACCGCTGAAACCTGGGGTTCCAGGCTCAGTGATGTCCAGGATCACACCCAGGCTGCAAACTTGCATCTTCACGGGGAGTGTAACCCCATCCAACACAGGCTGTAACCCCATGCCCCGTTCGGCCTTGCGACTGACCAGGAGTACCTCTGTCTTGTCTGGATTCAGTTTCAATTTGTTTGCCCTCATCCAGATCGTCACAGCGGCCAAGCATCGGTTCAGGACCTGAACAGCCTCCTTAGTAGCAGGTGGGAAGGAGTGACAGAGTTGGATGTCATCTGCGTACAGGTGACACCACACCCCGAAACTCTGGATGATCTCCCCCAGTGGCTTCATTTAGATGTTAAACAACATGGAAGACATGAGAGACCTTTAAAGCCATATATGCATGAGTAAACACATTCCTAATTCTTGTTGTGTAATAAAGTTTTGAACTGCCCAGCTAAAATGCCAAAATTACAGTAGACTGATGGAATGAATAGAATTTCTCCATGTGTTGAGTTTTTGTTCAACAAATGAATTATTCCAATTGTGACTAAACAAAAGAGTTAAAGCCAATTACTATAGAGCTTGGAAAAACTACTTGTTTTTGGAGCATAGCTCCCAGAATCCTCTGCCATCATGGTCAAATGCCTATTCTGATTTGGGAAGGGTCGTTTAGGAGTTGGAATTCAGAAAATAACTTTTCCAAGCCTTAGTCTTGTGGTTTATATACAGGAGAATCTAAAGCTGGCCTTAAGACACCCTTGTCAGTTCTTCTTTTGAGGATACAAACAGTTGTTGCTCCAGCTTTGGTTCTGAATAAATAAAAGATAAAGTCAGAGAGGGTGAACTCCTGGGACATGAGGACTTGTTTGACTTCTATGCAGGATTATCACATGTTAAAGGGTTAACTGCAGGCTGGGATATTTAAACACCTCAAACTGAGGTAAGCACACAGCTTGTTTGTTCAGGTAAATAAGGAAGGAATTAGATATAATGGGCAAAGGAGGCTTTTCTGAACTCATTGTATTCCTGGTGTTTGGCTGCAGGGCTATTCCTGGTGCATAACTAGAGCGATGTCTGTTAGCTTTATGCATTTCTCTGCATATTCATCTTTTTTGTTCAAATGCTCTGAATAGTGTAGTGGCCTGTTTACACCCCACAACCTGTGGCAGATATTTTTGTGGCATTTTTTTTCTCCCTTCCTCAGTGTATCTTTCAGCACCTTATCCCTTGGAAAAAGTAGTATGTTTCCAACAGAGGGAAACCCCACAACTCCATCTATTCGACTGTCATAACTAAGTCTGGGCTGCCCCTTCCTCTTTTCCTTGACACCTCCATGCCTAGTGGAGGTATTTAAAATTGGCAGGTGCATTCTTCTACCCACTTTACTGGATTGATGCTGCTGCTAGCCAACACATCTCTGAACACCTAACAGGTAAGTGTCAAATGATTTTCACTGGTATGTTTAGCAAGCAGAGCTCTTCCCTTCTTGAAAAACCTAGTGCCACTTCTCTGAGGAAATTAATGCATATGTGTCCTTTTCTAGGAGGGCTGTGGCTTTAAGAATAACTAGTTATGCTACCTTATTAGTCCTCTCCTTAAATAAACTATCTGTGAATGTCAACTGGCTGAATGGTTATGCTTTGTTCTCTTCCTTGCAAACAGAAAACAGCTCTAACAGATTTTTAACAACTTTGTAAGTGTGGTTATTATCCTCTAACTCAGTGGTTTCCAACTTTTTTTTGACCAGGGAGCACTTTGACAAGGGACCACTTTCCAATATTAGTACCAAAAGGGTTACAAATCAGTTTTTGGTCAACTTTAGATTTGGTGTGGTTGTTTGGGGTGCTGATTCAGATAATTGCATTGGATAGACCACATCAACTCTAGTTTCTGATACAGAACATATGCCATCCAGCAGTCACCATCTGCTCGCCCACATAAAACCATATTTAATAAGCCTCGGCACTATAAAAGGGGTTTGCAAGATCTGTTGCAATGATTTGGCCACGGACCATATTTTAGTTTTGCGGACCACTGGTGGTCCATAGACCACAGGTTGGGAACCACTGCTCTAACTGCTACTTTCTTCATTCAGTTCCATATGTGTTGGAATTTTTAAGGCTGTGGTAGCATTACCAGAAACCAACAGGTTAGTGAGTTTATGCCACTATGCCATCTGCATGGTGAGGGATGCAGATACTGCTCCCATCTGCAAATCTGATAGACACAATCCACATGCAGGCACCTGTACTGACATAAACATTATGTTGGTACTGGTTTCTTATTGCTGCTCTTTAGCTCTGTTCTGCATTCTCCTTCTTTTGCCTCCTCCTATACTGGACCTGGAAAAAATAACAGTAACTCAGGAATACCCATCTCAATGCACAATCACTTTTCAGTGGCCAATGGCTTAAACCTTTATGTGGTTCAGGTTACCTATGTTTGATATTGGGTACTGTAGTGTATATTTTTTACAGGGAATTGAATAACTTTTGAAAGACATAAAGATGCAAAGAATCGAAAGGAAGTCAGTTCCTTTAACCTGTCCATTGACTATAAGCAATTAGTACCTCTATTAATGCAATCTGAGTATCATATTCATTACTTAATGATTTACTACTCAATGGCTTAAAGATTTTATGGATTGTCTACACTAAAAAGCACCAAGTATGAGAAAACATTGTGTGATACAACAGGTCTCTCTATATTGGCTATGTAAAGCACAACTGAAAATCTTCATTTGATGTTAAAATCATGAAGTGTTGCATTGTGTATGTATGAACTCAACAACAAGCCTTCTCCACACAGATTCTGTGCCTCCCATAGCATTGGCACACATCAAGAAGTATTGGAAGCCACAGTAGGATTCTCTGCTTTATTGTGTTCCATGGGAACTTATGACAGCTAGACTTCAATATTTCTGTTGTCCATTGTGTGGGCTTTCTGAAGATAAATCCCGGTAGCTGTGTGGCATAAGAGGAACAGATGCTCAGTTTGCGACACATGGAAAACAAACTATGATATATAATTGTGATAACCAAAATAAGAATGTCAGAGGCTGGGAGATATCCATAAAATGTTTTATTTTGGACCACCACTATCCCGGCTGAGATTGGTGGGATCTCCAACTTGATTCTCACACTTCCCCCAGGAATTCCTTAGCCTTAAAGGCAAATTGGCGTGTTTAATTATTTTTTCTTTCATGGTTATGCTTGGATAGTGAAACACAAGTGACACCTCACCTGCCAAATCCCTCCAAAACAATTTCTTATGGGGAAAGGATTCAAGGTGGAGCAAATGAACTTCCCAGGAGAGGGAAGAAGGGGATTTATAAATAGGGGGCTTCTTGCCATGTTAACGTGAACATCAAACTCTGCTGCTCAGCGGGGACCTGCAGATGTTTGTGCTCAGCTGACACTCAGACCACTCCCTCCACTGTTCCCTTTTCAATGGGAGTCAATAGAGAGCAGGTGGAGAGAGGGCAGTCTGACCCCAGAACATGGAGACCTGTGTGCAAAGGGATATGAACATCAAAGCCAGCTCAGAATAGCAGGTGCCATCATCCAGGCATCTCAGCAGTAGCGGTTATCCAGGTACCTACATGGGTAGTGCTTTCCACTGACTTAAGGGTGGGATTGAAGAGATGGAGGCAGCCTGACCCTTTCTTCAAATGCACAGTGGTCGTTTGCTGAAGATGGCCTATCAACTGAGGAATGAGGACAAAGTTCTGGGAAGAGATAAAGGTGAGAATATATGAAGGGGCAACGGAATTTCTCTCTGAATATTGTTTACAATTGAAAGGTGTTCCCACTTCTTTCCAGGTAACTATTCCATATTGAGCAAGCACTGTGTTGCAAATAAATGTGAGCCATTATCAATAAAACCTTCTGTGCAACTGAGCAATCTGTTTTCCCTATTGAAAATGAATGTGGGAGAGGAGAAGTTTGATCCCCTGAGCAAGTCATTCTTCTTCAATCTGTAAAATGGGTGTAATAAGAATAAAGATATCTCTTCCCATTCTTGGCTGCTGTGGAGGAATAGAACTAAAACATTTTGCACTTTAAAATATCTCCTTCTCATAATCACATATTTCAGAAAAAACAGCTTTCATGAAGGAAACACAAATTAATGAGTAAATAATTTGGTATCATGTTCCGTTTAGAGCAGTTAGTATAAATACGACAAGAATGGTCTTTGGTGTATTTGTATAGGATAGTACTCTTGTTTGTAAAGTTGTCCTTCAAGTCCTTGTGTAATTGGTAGAACGTACACTGAGCATATAGTGCTGATAAGGGGCAGTATGAATAGTTATGTTCATATTATACTTATGCTGGAATCAATATCAGAGTGAGTAGCTGTTTGTTATTGTCAACATGGTTATGGCAAATGTGAAGTAAGAATTTGGTTTACATAGGTGGGATGGTTGGTACAATGATTACCTGTATTGCAGCAGTATGGTGAAATTATTTTCCCTTCCACTGGGTGAGCTGAACACAAGCCTGGATTTTAAAAGAATAAAATTGTTTAACTCATTTTTGGACTTGTAAGACTAAGAATTTGGAGTCAATCTTATCCCCACTGCCCTCAAAGATGAACTCTACACTGTTATTTTCCTATCTGCAAAATGAGGACAACACTGCCACCTACCACAAAAAGGAGCATGCTCAGATCCTGCAAAAGTTTCAGAGTTCGTTCTTAAATGTTCTTTTTAGGAGTTTTTAATAGTGTAACATTACAGCATAATAATGTAACATTAGAAAATGTTGAGCATTTCCGTGACCTTGGCAGCTACCTCTCCACAAAAATCAACATTGACACTGAAATACAACATCGCCTGAGCTCTGAGAGTGCAACTTTTTCCGAATGAAGCAGAGAGTGTTTGAGGATCAGGACAGCTGTAGAGAGACCAAGGTGCTTGTTTATAAAGCTATTGTCCTCCCAGTCCTGCTATATGCCTGCGAAATGTGGACTGTCTAGGGATGTCATACTCGACTCCTGGAATGATTCCATTAGCATTGCCTCCAAAAAATCCTGCAAATCTCTTGGGAAGACAGGCGGACAAATGTCAGAATGCTGGAAGAGGCAAAGACCATCAGCACTGGAGCGATGCTCCTTTGCCATCAACTCTGCTGGATTGGCCACATTGTCCAAATGCCCAATCACTGTCTCCTAAAGCAGTTACTACCTCCCAACTCAAGAACGGGAAACGTAACGTTGGTGGACAGGAAAAGAGATTTAAAGATGGGCTTAAAGCCCACCTTAAAAATTGTGGAATAAACACCAAGAACTGGGAAGCCCTGGCCCTTGAGTGCTCTAACTGGATGTCAGCTGTGACCAGCAGTGCTGCAGAATTCAAAGAAGCACAAATGGAGGATGAAAGGGAGAAATGTGCCAAGAGGAAGGTGTGTCAAGCCAACCCTGACTGGGACTGCCTTCAACCTGGAAACTGATGTCCTCACAGAGGCAGAATATGTGGATCAAGAATGGGGCTCCACAGTCACTTATGGACCCACTCTCAAGACACTACACTTTGAGATTTTTGAAGCATTTTATTGGCTTCTTAGCTGCATGTGTGCTTGCCTGCCATCTGTTCCTTGGTTCATCCCTTTTCATAAGCCCAAACTGTACCTTCCTCATTGGCATTTTCTCAAGTAGAATAAGAAATCATCCAGCAGGGAATGAGTTTTACTTCTAGGTCTCCAGGTTACAAATGGACAGAATTGAGGGAACATTTTTTGGGACTACAGCTCTGGGAAGCTTAACTACATAAGGGATTCTGGGAACTACAGACCAAAAAGCTTTGTACATATGCTTGACAAAGGTGTGGCTCACAACCAGGTAGAATAATCATAGATTTTTAAAAATGTGTATGCAGCTTGATGTATTATGGAGAAAATTAGTTTAGGCATACCCTCTGCATAGGGCTGACAAATTGTAAAAGGCTCCAATCTTAAGGGCGACATATGGTGGACAGAATTCACTAAGTCATATAAATTCAAATTGACAATAAGATAAAGCTTTCTCATTGTGTTTTATATGGGTTGAAATAAATAATTTACCGCTTCTTGAAAGTGCCCACTTACTGGCCTGGAGCAGGAGTGGAAAATGTGTGGCTGTCCTCATACTATTAGGACTCCAACTCCCTTCAGCACCAGCAAAAATAACCAATGGCTAATGATTATATGAGTTGTTGTCCAACAATACCTAGAGAACCCTAGATACTCTCTTAGAAGATATTAAGTTTGATAGATCAATGGGTGTAAGTATAGGATACAATCATAGAGCTGGAAGAGACCCCGTGGGCCATCCAGTCCAACCCCCTGCCAAGAAGTAGGAAAATTGCATTCAAAGCACCCCTGACAGCCTCTGCTTAAAAGCTTCCAAAGAAGGAGCTTCCACCACACTCAGGCAGAGAGTTCCACTGCTGGACATCTCTCACAGATAGGAAGATCTTCCTAATGTTCAGGTGGAATCTCCTTTCGTGTAGTTTGAAGCCATTGTTCCATGTCCTAGTCTCCAGGGCAGCAGAAAACAAGCTTGCTCCCTCCTCCCCATGACTTCTAGACCTAGAAGTTATACACTAGACCTAGAATTTATAAACACAAATCCCTAGGATATGTGTGTGTAGAAATTCATATATGCCATTGGTACTAATAAAATCAGTCAATGTTTTATTTTGTAAATGGTGAAAGTCATTGAGATAGTTTTTTAAACAACTGGACAGCCAAAACCATGTAATCTTTTCTGACCTAGAGCCTAAACCCGACACCATCCTAAAAGTATGGGTGTGTGCCTTTTACAAGAACACGCAAGGAAGCATTTGCACCATAGTGATCATAAAAATGTATATATGCTGGAACTCTAGTCCTATTAAGATGCCCTCACAGAAATAAAGGCGCTCTAGAGATAACCATGCCTTCTGGCAGCCCTGTTTGGTTATCTCCAATTCCCAGTTGCCTAGCTATTGGATCCAAGTGACACCAATGTGTCCTTTATGTCCAGTCTGGCAAACTAACAATAAAAGTCATCTTATTGCCTTCTCCTCCCCACCAGATGTCTGCCTGACAAAGCAAACAGGTTTTCGTTATTCTGTACCCAGCATGTTGGACTTTGATAGCTTCATTTTCCAAATGCTTGAAATGAACTTGAGGGTTTCCCCTCTACTTTACTGCTTTTGCTGTAAGTTTCAGCTAAGGCAGAGTGTCATGAGGATGCCCGGGGACAATATTTAACAGCCCCTTTCCCCATTTCCCAAGTGAATTGCTAGACACCTTTTATGAGAGTTCATTCAGCTACAGAGCTAATGACTTTGACTAGCACAAATGTGACCCCATATTCTAAATAAGCATTAGGGCTTCTCTAATGAGAGAAAACAATGGTACAGGCTAGCACTGGGGTAATAGGTCAGAAGTGAAGCAATATTTGAGACATGGGGATTATTTGGAGCTCTGTGGTGCAGGGAAATAACAACAACAACAACAACAACAACAACAACAACAACAACAAGAACAACACTTCTCACCCCGAAGGGGACTCAGGGTGGACCACAGCACACATTCAATGCCACTTTGTAGAGACAATACACAAACAGACAGAACAGAAAGTTTTTAAGATGAAAGTTTTGTTGGCTTGAAGACCAGCAGATAAAAATGACCTCTGTCTCTAGAATTAGAGCAGGGGTGGAAATTGTGTAGTCTTTCAGATGTTGTTAAACTGCAAGTACCAAAAGCCCCATCCAGCCTAGCTAATGGTGAGGATTCTGGTTGTTGCAGTCCATCTGAAAAATTGCACCAACTGATTTTTTTAATGGTAAAAAACATGTCACACAAATACACACAATCCTCTCAGAGTTCAGTGACTTCTGAGAGGAGGGTAATGGTGGGCACAAAGAAAAAGTAACCATGACTACACAGAGCTGTAGGCAGCTCTACACACAATCCCATCTCTATGCCAGAGTTAGTGGATCCATGTTTTTATATCTTACCTGACTGTATGTGAAGTCAGAACCAATTCCTTGGTGCTTTGAGGTGAAAGTATGTGAAAGCTTTTAAAAAATTATCTGTGTTATGTAGCCTACAGATGAAGTGTAAAAATATGAAAAAACATCAGTGTTCAAATCATGTTGTAGCTGTGGCTGTTGTAGTTTTATTTTATCTTCCTAGGTCTATATTTTGTGGGCATTTTACTCTGTTTTCAGGGCCAGACCTGCCACAGACAGCTGGATAGCTAGATGGGCATCAAAAGGGACAGATGGTGGTGATGGAGGAAAGACGTTTGGGAGTGAAATTCTTGAGCCTGCACATATTGCTGGACTTCAACTCCCAACCCTTCTAGCTAGTGTAGCCAGTGGTAAGGAATGCTTGGAATTGCAATCCAATAACATCTTATTCCTGTTGGGAATGATTCTTATCCCTGTTGGGAATGATGAAAATTTTCATTCCTGGAGATGTGGAGAGATGCCCGTAGGACACTAGATCCCATGCACCTGTGAAGGGGGCATTTGCCACTCCAAGTATTGTATTCTTGAGCTAACCAACCTTGAAGTATGAAACAACTTAGTATATCCATTTTAAAAGGAAACTAACAAATTAATAAACATACATTATCTTTATCTCTCAAAGGTCCCTGTTTTATTTTGTGTCATATTGTGCCACATATAGACCAGTAATCTGGTTTTGGAAAACCACATAATGCTGGAGTCCATTTTAAATTATAATAGGAAAAAATCCCGAGGATATTACCA